TATTCGAAATTTTGAAACTGTAATAAAAAAAGGTTAAATACACGCACTTTGCCGATTAAATAATAAAAACTCAACCTGTATATCCGACTTCAGTCACTTTCCCACCATTTTGAGGTGGCTTTCCTTTGTCTTTTCTATAAATATATTTTATTGCATTTGTTCTGATGAGATTTCCTCCCTGGCGTCTCTAATGCATGAATTTAAGCGTAAGGCTAGCAATTAAGCCTCATCATTTAACTTTTGAAGTAACAAGATCTCACCGTAAGTTTAAAACAAAAGCATCTATTTTTTTTTTTACATTATTCGGAATGTTGTCCTCATCTTTATTGCCATATCCACGACGTTTCGGCTAGGGTACGCTCCGGCCTTCTTCAGGTGATTGAAATTTCGAACTGAAACCTTTATTTCGTCCAACGGCGTAGATTCTTCTGGTTCCAGACATAAAGGGTTCAGTTCGAAATTCCAATCACCTGAAGATGGCCGGAGCGTACAGTGGCCGAAACGTCGTGAATATTTTCAGTAAAGGTGAGGACTGCAGTCCGAACGATGTGAATAATGTAAATAATTACAATACCTCATCTCAGAAATATAGACAGAAAAAAAAATCTACCTTTCACTATGTCAATGTTTATGAATTTAAACTTTTTTTTTCTCATTTCACGTTGATTTTTTTTCCCCTTTTTCATTCTTTGAGCACGAGCGTGCGCGTGTGAGTGCACGCGTATGTGAGAGTGCGCGCGTGAGACCATCATCCTTATCATCATCACCATCCTTCTCTTCTTCATCATCAACATCATCATCATCAGCAGCAGCAGCAGCAGAATCCTCTTCATCATCATCATCATCATCACCACCATCCTCCTCATCATCATCATCAACATCCTCCTCCTCATCATCATCATCATCACCACCATCCTCCTCCTCATCATCATCATCAATCTAATTGACTATCTCTGTCCGTCGTTTTCTCTGTCGGTCTGGCTGTCTGGCTGGCTGTTTGTGTTGACATGTGTCGTCTGTCGTGGCACGGCTCTATCATAAAATCATGTCTATTAAATTAATCAGGGACGCGTAGGCAATCCGGACTTAATTGTGCGTGACAATGTCACTTGGGAGCCGGGCTGGGTGGGTCCAGATGGAGAGTGGACAGTGCATGGGGAAGACCAGCAGGAGAAGTGGAAAAAAAGATGAAAAAGTTTGGGGTAGGGGAGAAAGAAGATGAAAAAGAAAATAAAAATTAAGAGGAAGAAGTAAAAATAGATAGATAGATAGATAGATAGATAGATAGATAGATAGATATGAAGAGACCGAGATAGATAGATAGATAGATAGATAGATAGATAGATAGATAGATAGATATGAACAGGCTGGGGTAGAGAGAAAGAGAGAGAGAGAGAGAGATGGACAATCCGAGATAGATAGATAGATAGATAGATAGATAGATAGATAGATAGTGAAAGAAAGTGAGAGAGAGAGAGAGAGATGAAAATGCCGAGATAGATAATTTCACAAAAAGTACTGTTTTCTAATCTTAGATAAATCGATAGATAGGATCAGTATGGAAAGAAAGAAAGAAAGAAAGAAAGAAGGAAAGAAAGAAAGAAAGAAAGAAAGAAAGAAAGAATATAGACAGCTTAATGGACATGTATAAAAATGTGATATCTAAGAAAGCTTTGCTAGAATACTGCGATCAAATTATAATAGATGTGAAGCGACTAGATACGAACCATCTGTGAGACATAACAAGATAGATAGATAGATAGATAGATAGATAGATAGATAGATAGATAGATAGATAGATAGATAGATGAGATGCGGCAGTCTCTTGGTTCGGGCTGCAAAGAGAATGGAATATCTGGCCGGCAAATAAAACGATAGGAGAGAAGCAAGTGGAGAGTAAGGATGGAGAGAAAATGAAGAGAAATACGAGAACGTAAAATAAAGGAAATACTTAAGCAAATGAAAAGGAAAGAAAGACAGTAATTCAGAAAACATAAAGGACGCTGGAGACGAAAAAGCGAAAGGAATAAATGAAATGACGAAAGATGAAAGCCTAAAGACGTTGGAAAGAGAAGGGAAAGGAAAGCAAAAATAGGAGAGCAAGAATGAACTGGAGAATAAGGGCTGTGGAGAGGGAAGTAAGAAGAGAGTAATGATGGGAAAATATGGGTTTAGAAAGGGAGGGAATGGAAAGAAAAAATGAGTGAGTGATAATATGCGATGAGAGAAAAGGTGGGGAAGGATGGGTGTTGAATTAAAATAAGAGGTGATGGGTGTAACATTCGAAGGAGAGTCGGATGTCAGTTTTATTATTGTAGCGTAAAATTAGTGCACGCATGATACTGCGACGAGAAAAATGAAACAAGGAAAGAAATGAACGTGAAAAGAAAGAAAGAAAGAAAGAAAGAAAGAAAAGGAATAAATGCCAAAAACGGAGAAAAGAAGAAAAAGAAAAACGCAAAAGAAAAAAAGAAAGAAAAATGAAAAAGAAAGAAAACATCGCGAAAGAAAGACAGTGAAAAATAAAGAGAAAAATGAACAATAAATATATAGAGATCGAAAGAAGGAAACAAAAAAAAAAAACAGAAAAAGAAAAATCATTCAGAGGAAAACGTGTAAAAAAAAAAAAAGAAAAATGGTGAGAAAGAAAAAGCAAAAAAGAAAGAAAAAATACGCAAAGAAAGAAAGAAAAAAACGCAAAGAAAGAAAGAAAGAAAGAAGCAAACAAACAAAGAAAATGAATAATTGAAAAAAAAAAACGGAGAAAAAATGAAAAGCGAAAAAAAGAAAAAAGAAAGAAAAAAACATCGCAAAAGAATGAAAGTTATAAATTAAAGGGAAAAAAGTGAGAAAGGAAAATACAGTGTAACCCGGATATAAGAGACCCGGATATAAGAGAAAACCGGATATAAGAGAGATTTTCTCAGGTCCCAAATTAGAGCCATACTTACCTAAACAAAATAGACCAAACCCGGATATAAGAGAAACCCGGATATAAGAGACTTCTTCTCCGGTCCCGACAACTCTCTTATATCCGGGTTACACTATATAGGAATCGAAAGAAAGAAAGGAATAAAGAAGGAAAGAATAAACTCAAAAAGAAAAAAAAGGAAGAAAAAAATCTGTCAAAGGAAAACGTGCAAAAGACAGAAAAAAGGCGAGAAGAAAAAAACAAAAAAGGAAAAAAGAAAGAAAGAAAGAAAAAGAAAGAAAAGAAACAGACATTAACGCAAAATAAACGATGAAAAAAAAACTGAATGCCAAAAAGAAACATTAAAGAATAAAAGAAAAGGAAAGGAAATCATTTTGATAATGTCTTCCTGCGTGAATAATTATGCGTAGATTGAGAAATGAATGTGTTTAGGTGTACATTCTTTTGGGTGTGTTTCAGATATCAATTGATCAGCAAATAGACTGATCGATTGGAATACTGGTTGATACAAATAACACTAACCGATTGATTGGTCGCTTGATTAGTTTTTGCGCTAATGCTAAAATATTGATCGAAGGTGATAGCTACGAAGTAAAATATGGGACATAGATAGATAGATAGATAGATAGATAGATAGATAGATAGATAGATAGATAGATAGATAGATATGAACAGGCTGAGATAGAGAGAAAGAAAAGGAGAGAGATGAATAAGCCGGGATAGATAGATAGATAGATAGATAGATAGATAGATAGATAGATAATGAACAGACTAAGATAGATAGATAGATAGATAGATAGATAGATAGATAGATAGATAGATAATGAACAGACTTAGATAGATAGATAGATAGATAGATAGATAGATAGATAGATAATGAACAGACTTAGATAGATAGATAGATAGATAGATAGATAGATAGATAGATAGATAGATAGATAATGAACAGACTTAGATAGATAGATAGATAGATAGATAGATAGATAGATAGATAGATAGATAGATATGAACAGGCTGAGATAGAGAGAAAGAAAAGGAGAGAGATGAATAAGCCGGGATAGATAGATAGATAGATAGATAGATAGATAGATAGATAGATAGATAGATAGATAAATGAACAGACTTAGATAGATAGATAGATAGATAGATAGATAGATAGATAGATAAATGAACAGACTTAGATAGATAGATAGATAGATAGATAGATAGATAGATAGATAGATAGATAGATAGATAGATAGATAATGAACAGACTTAGATAGATAGATAGATAGATAGATAGATAGATAGATAGATAGATAGATATGAACAGGCTGAGATAGAGAGAAAGAAAAGAGAGATGAACAAGCCGGGATAGATAGATAGATAGATAGATAGATAGATAGATAGATAGATAGATAGATAGATAGATAGATTAAAATACGCTATTATGCTTGTTCTTTATTTGGGCCTGAACATTGGCCACTCGTGGAACTACGGCATCAGAATTGCTAAAACTTCATCTATACATAAACTGGATACAGATCTGTGAAGGTGCATTATTATATATATATATATATATATATATATATATATATATATATATATATATATATATATATATATATATGGGGTGTTGATACATTGCTATTTATGATAACGGAATAGATAAGTCTTGTCGTTTGATATCTACGTAAACACAAAGGGAATAGCAAAGTGAAAGTGAAAGTGAAAATGAAAATAAAGAGTATAAAAGAAAAATAGAAAAGTCAAGAAGAGCGTTCTGACTTGATAGATTTATACATTGGCCTCCCGAGCGGCCATAATTACTCAAGCCAAACGACACTCACACACAATGGCCGGTCCTATGTTTGTCTTTGCCCGTAAATGTAGATCAACTGTTTACACAAACTTGGCCGACGTCTTTGTGTCTTTTTTTCTCCTTTCTTTATTATTATTATTAGCCGATCAATGGGACAAGCGCCAGTTGAAATGGATATAATTCTATGCGTTGCTTAGTTGCTTTGATCGCTACATTGAGCGTGGTTTATTTTTTTGCGTTCTGAAACATTAGTCCCTATTGGTCAACTGTTGAAGTCACAATAACGGTATATCATTAAGCCCTTCCTCCATAAATTATATATATATATATATATATATATATATATATATATATATATATACCGGGTGTAACAGCAAAACTGTCCAAATCGTGTAACAGCAAAAGTGTCCAATTATTAGATTAAGCTCTGAATAGTTGTATTTTAGGAATGATTAAAGATATTTTACTGGAATTCTCTGAGGTTTATATAAAACTATTGGATTCTACTTTGTGCAATAAGAATATGTAATATCTCTCCAAGATTAACAGAAGATTTTTGATGAAATCGATTATAAACGAAAATGACATGTTCATCATTATCTAATCATAGCTAAGGATCGAAAGCTCATGAAGGATTGAAATAAAGTTCAAATATATATATATATATATATATATATATATATATTCCAGGATAATTTTCCAACTTATTCAAGATTATCTTCACCCTCTCTAACGTTCTAACCTTCTGTCCTGGAGTAGCAAGGTGCGTCACACGACACTACTCTTTGGACTGTCGTAGCTGAAACTCCACTCTCACGTGCCAAACATCTTATAGACTGAGTTGGATTTTGCCTAATTGATAGATCTAAGTTGGAACGATGATCCTTCTTCCTGTTTTGACCTCCTTACCCTGTTTTCCTTTGTACTGACCCCTCTTTTTTAAAACTTATTCACCGTTCTCTTGACGGTTCATGAATAGACTTTGAAGATGGAAGCCAGAATATGAATGTTGGTACCAATATTGAAGGTCTGAATGATCTCTTTCGTCTCACCATTTCTCATTGGGGAACACAGTGGGTCTGGCACAAAACGATTCTAATCTGTTCTCTTTCTACCTGAATAACTCAAGGTGATTCTCACGACAAATGGTGTCAAGATGGCTAAACGTCTTATCTGAAAACGGGGAAGAAAGAAACTAAATTAGCTTAGTGTTTTTTTTTTTGTTTTTTGTTAGGCATTAAACATTTTGTAGGATAGACAATTATGCTTTGTCACGATTTGGAGCTCAGAGTTCTTGACAAGATCCAGAGACGGATATGTAATATAATTGGCCCTGATCTGGCATCTCGTCTACAGTCACTCTCTCACAGACGCGCCGTCGCCTCTCTCTGTCTTTTCTACAAATACTTTCATGGTAATTGCTCCGATGAGCTGTTCTCAATGGTTCCCAGACTCCATGAATTCAAGCGCCCTACGAGGCTGGCATCCCGCTCTCACCCTTTCACTGTACAAACTTTTAAATGTAGCCGTCTCTTCTACTCCAATAGCTTCATACCTCGCACCTCACGCCTGTGGAACACCCTTCCCAATTCCTGTTTCCCTGAGAGCTATAATCTCCAGCTATTCAAATGTAATGTCAATCGACATCTCCAATTACCTTGATCTATCCACTATCCTTCTCCTCATCCTTTCTTCTATCACTCCTATCTGCTCTTGCTCCAAATCTTCTGTAACCCCCTACATCCTAGTGGCTTCACGCCTTGCTCGGGGCATAATGCTTAAAAAAATAAAAAAAGTTGGCTGTTACACTCAGTATATATATATATATATATATATATATATAGTTATTTTCCAAGCAGAGCTTAAATGTGGCACAGAGGGCAACCAGTGAGGATTGAACTCACTACTCAGTCGTAATTGGTCTAGCGAAACAAGCTTGCTAACTGTTACACCGCCTCGAAGTGCCCCGAGATGATTTTCTAAGCGTATACACTTCTACTTACTATTATTATTATTATCTCTCACTTGATGTCTCTGGTGACAATCGTTACAGATCAAATGAGAGGGAAAATCCTCAAATCTCAAGCATTACATTCACTATACACGCTGATCCCCTCCCGACTCCGAAAAAACTACAGTCTCAGATTCTTATGATCATGATTTTTCTAAGCGTAGCTTAGATGTGGCACAAGGTCGAAAGTATGTGGCACCTATTGAGAATCGAACTCACTGTTCAGTCGTACCTCTTTTAGCGAGACAAGTTTTCTAACCATTACACCACGCCGTAGTGCCCAATCGATCCATTTAGGTGAAGCCTAAGTAGGTTTGTCTGGCTCACTAACTTTATCTAGGTCTGCTCTACGGTTGTATTGAGCTCTTTTGTTAGTTAGTTGTTTACTCGTGTCGGGTTTTTTTTCTTTGGACTTTAAACCTGTATCTGTGCGATTTTTTTGCGACAGACTTTCATGTTTCTAGCTCTTTCTTTTTTTAAAACCCTTTTTCCCACGGGAATGATTTGATTATTGGCAAATCAAAAATCCGAAGGTTTTTCAAAACGAGTATAGTTACCTATATATATATATATATATAAAAAGTATATAGAAAATAGGAAATAACTCATTAGGTAAATAATCCGAAGTTCTTTAGTATTTTTGTTATTATTTTAAAAAAAAACAGTGTTCGATACAAAAGTAGAGCCTAAATATAATTATTTATTTAAAAATATGATTCCTCCGCTACATAATTCAATTTAATTCTCATAATTATA